GTGTAGCTTTGTGCGAAATTCAAAACAAAACAAATAATGAAAATGCTTTGTTGACAGATGTTTTCTAAAAATATAGTTTGAGCATTATTAAAGCTCTAGCTTTTTTGCTTAATAATATTTTTTGAGTGAAATAAAAATGTAGAACGTACACATATCAACAGTCTTACTTTGTTGTTTCATCAAACGTATAGTGTAGAAAGAATTGTGCACCAGTATTATACACCTTGTAGAACATGCACTGATACAAGTGTGTAACATTAAAATGAAATATCTCGTATCATCATTTCTACTTTGAGGATGTTGTAGTCATTTGGTTATATGAATATGTGTGCAATTTTCTCTTAAGTGTGTGTATATACTTTATTGTTCTATGGACAATAAACTAGAAAGATTACTTTTCATTGTAAAATGAATCATCTGTCTAAAAAGTGTTATTTGAGTTTATCATGTAAGTTTCATCTCTTGTATGTTTCATTTTTCATGTTTAGTTTTTTTTTAAGGGAATAGAAAATTCCATAATATTGTGAGATAAAAGCTCTTCAGTGTTGGCTTCATGAAAAATAGTCATTTAGTAAATATATCCATTAAAAATTTTGTATTTTTGGTATAATAAACACCTTAATCAGGATGATTTGTTTTGCCTGCATGCTGAAAGCAGGAGAGGTCAAGGTTAGTACTTTAGTAACAGTGTTGCATCAGTTTCATATTTCACATATATTCTAAATAAGAAATGAGGAAAATATGTTAAACCATTTTAGAGTGTTACATTGAAAATCATTTTTGTGATTTGTTGAAATTAACGAATGGAAAAGCGAAACACGACAGTGAAATATTGCTTTACAAGTGCCATTCTGTAGCAAACCTGTTCACTTTACTTACCGTATTTGCCCGAATATAATATGCACTTTTTTTTCCTCCAAATAATTCCTGAAAAATTGACTGCACATTATATTTTCGTACATTCAATTTTGTTAGTTATTTTACTAGATGTTACCACCAACAATTATTAAAGCATTTTTAAAGGTTTTGAAAAATGTTGCATATCCAATACAATGGATGGGATGGATGATGATGTGCTATGGGAATCAGAAGAGGATGAAGCAAAGGTTCAAGTGAATCTGAGGAATGCAATGAAGCCAATGGTAGCGACAATTCTAGCAATGACAAGGAGTTATGTGCAGATGAATGATTAGCTTAGTGTATTACCATTATAAACTTTTCACTAAGTTTTGTAAAATTGACACACACACACACACACACAAAATTTCAATGAAAGATTTCCAAAAATATTTAGTACATCGATAGTTCTTTACTATTCAAATCATTTTGTACAATTGATGTGTCAAAAAACAAATCTTCAATTTAACATTTCAAAATTGGATGCACTTTATATTCAGGCAAATACGATACTTACATTTTTGCATTCTAACTGGATTGATTGACAGTCAAAAAAATCATACGATTGTTGTTTCTTGTTTAATAATCTATTCTGCTAGTTGTTAGTACTTTATATATGAATTTGGACAATATTATAAGTCAGTAGAAATTGAGAGAGGTTTTTTGTATATTTTTATTAAGCTACTGGATAAATAGATTGAATTGCAGAAAAATTGAAAAAATCAGACTCTTCATTGAAAACATTTAAAACAAACCTTTTGTTTGAGAAATTGAGTTAAAACATAGACAAAATTAACTTGACTGTTTCAGTATACTGAAAAGAATACTTTTTCTAGATAAGTTTGATTCTCAATATTCTATGGAAAGTAATGAGGATATTGTGTCCTGTTTTATGAAACAAATTTTGTTCTTCACACCTATGATATTGTCACCTCGATAAATCAGACATATATATATATATAATGTTTATTAAGAACCTAAATTAATCAAATTAATTAAGTTGATTACTTGTATAACTTTATTCCAGGTTACAGTATATTATGTGTGGATTTCAGTTCGTAAGTAAGTCTATATTATTGATTTGTATGTGTAAATGTGTTTATAATTTGCTCTTGTTGTTTAGGGCCACAATTCTACAACACACTCCAGCAGTAAAACTATCTCACGCCAGCTCAGGTTCAGTTGCAATCCCTGCTGTAATGAGAACTGGAGCAGATGGTAAGGAAATAGTTTGGAAAAATGTTTTTTTTAATATACAGTTTATATTTTGTGAAAGAAAGAGTGGTGATCATAAAAATATACCTTATGTTTTAGTTATTTGAGAATGTACTTTTTATGTCTCATAACATTAAGTAAACAAAAAGTCAAAGTATGAACAAAATGATGCACAAAATTTTATTATAAACAGTTTTTTATCCTTAATAGTAATTATTTTAATGATTAGCCTTTTAAGTTTGTATATAATTTTTGACTTTTGAAAGAAATATTTCATTTATTCCAAAATATTAATGCTTAAACATGCCCAGTGTCAGCTGACAATACGAAGAACTAAATTGTGGCGGAATGCTACAAGTTCTTCAAATACCTATAGAGCAATAGGTTTCTTTTTTTGTGAGTGTAAAACACTTAAATACAGTAACTAACTCTTAGCATCCCTGAGAGAATCATCAGTTTAGCTTTTAAACATAATGTTGATATTCCAAACAATCTCTACATACGTAACGTAACTCCAGATTGGCCAAATTAAACCAGTTTAAGAAATGAAAACCATCTAGTTTACACTCACTGTGGCAGGTGCATGAGCATTATGAGCATGTCCCTTTACTTCTCCATACTGAGCACCTTGCATGTGACCTGTGCTATAGTTCTGAGCCCCTGAAAAAAAGTTTTGAAACATAAAAAACAATATATTGTGTGTTCAACCAATGTCTATACAGCTATTCTTATTAGAAATAACCTCAAAAATATTATCCATAGCTGAAATATATATATTATGTTGTAAATCTCAGATATTTTTTTCTCTCTTTCTCTTTTTTTACACAAAAGTTTATTTTATACAAATTCAACTCTAAGTGTTAGGCACGAGTTTTATATACCAACTTTTTCCACACTGGAATATAAAACAGTCATCTAAATAGAAGGTATTAGTCACAGACACAACTTAAATTGTTTCCTAACATTGTTGAATAGAGTTGTTTAAATATTTGTTTAACAACCAGTAAAAGCTTGGAATGGTCTATTCTTTCACTGGGGGGTGTGTCTGTGAGCCAAACTAGTTTCAGAGAATTCCACTCCTCATCAGTGACCCTGGACATTACCACCAATGAAATATTAGACCAAACTAAGCCTTTATAGTAATGAGGTATCGAAAATCAAAATGCTTAGAAGCACATGTTATATGGAGCTCTGAGTAATCCAACAGAGAGTTGATATGAAAATGGTTTCAGGAACAAAATACATTGTAAGGATATAGAATGTAAGATACTGGTGTAAGAAGAACATCTTTTCGGGCCTTTCAAGGCCTAAACTTTCTAGTTTTCATCTGTTTATCTCATTGAATCTTCTCTTTCTTCCTCTTGTTTATTGTTATATGCATTGAAACTTTGATTTGATACCCGTTGATACTACTTCTTTAAACGAGATATATTTCTTGAGAAGTCAGACTTAAAATTATTTTTGTAAAGTAAAAACATGAACAAAGATTTATTTGGAAAATTTTGTATGATCTCTCTCTTTATACCTTATTAAAAGAAAAATAAGTTTATTTGCTAATGATGGCTACTTTTTATATTTTAGTATATATTGAGTTAAAGACACTTTTAGTTCCATTTTATTTTATTATTAGATGAATTTCTCAATTACTGTAAATCTCTTAAGCCTAACCTAGATACTAACTTTGATGTTATTCTGTATTTTTAGCCTCAGCATCCTAAGGTTCATAGGACACTGACAGAACCCCAACAAGCTTTATTAAGTTCCATTGATGCTGGACGAGATGCTGTAGATTCAGCTCAGAAAGAACTGCAGACAAAAGCAGATCTTCCTGAAATGGGAACAGATCCTGCTTCCCTGCAGTGGAAACAAAATACTTTTGATGTTAAAAAGCAAAGTGTGTCTTCTCACCTTGGAGCAATGAATGCTGCTACAGCTCAGGTGATAACCCTGACATCTGGTGAGTACTGAATTTTTTTTTATTATTGTTATTTTTTTTATCAAATTGCTTTTAACATTCAGACGGAAAAATCAATTTGTATATATATATATATATATTTAGTTCAAATTAGCTATGTGTATGAATTCTGAGTGAAGAATATTTTTTTTTACTACAAAGAATTAACATTCTTTACTGAAATGAAAAGTGATTGAAACAGGTATGGTTTCAGTTAGTCTTTATTTGTCTGTTTTATGTGATGAAAAGTTTTTCATTTGATATGATTTACAAGTCATTCACTGTTTCTTTTCATTTGATGTTTTTTGTCAACAGAATATATATATATTATTTCCCTTTTCTAAATATGTTTCCATATTATGTCATTTTCAGAAACCTTATTTATGAAACGATTGGAAAAATGACATTATGAGGTTATGAAACTCTAGAAGTATTACTGCTTTATACCAATTTAGCATAAGTAATGTATTTTTTTTATGCTCCCACTGTAAAGCAGAGTGGGGCATATTGGTTTACCACTGTCCATCCAACCCTGTCTTATGGACAGGATATCTCAAATTGATGGATGGATTTTGACTAATCTTATGTAAAAGATACTTTATACAAAGTCCTAGACTTGATTGGCTTTTGAGTATCGAGGGTAAAATAACCAGTTGTACATAGAAAATCCACCCTATCTTGTGGACGTAATATTTCAATACAAGTTTAATGGCTATTGAAGAAAGTAATGCAACAGATGTTACAGACAAAGTTCTACACCTGATTGCTTTTGGAGATCACGAGTCAGAAATCAAGATCAAAAGCAAATTTAGTGTTTACGACTCAACATCCTTTGTGTTATGGATATTGTCTATTATTTTCTTGCAATTTATGGGTCTTTTTATCTTTCAGAAAATTGAAAACACATATTGTTAAGGAAAGTGACAGAAGATTACTGTTGATAACCTTTAAATAATTGGTGTGCTCTCAGGAAAGGATATCTGAGAACTATTGTGGTGCATGTAGATGGTTACATCCATAAGGTACAGGGATCTACTCTGGATAACATAGTAGAGTCTTCCAAGAAATCTTACACCGCTGGGTAAGCATATGTTGCACTCGGCAGATCCAAAACATTATAAGGTTTGCAAATTCTTTGACTTGTTTAAAATCTAACCAAACAGACATGTGCGGAAAGAAATGCCCAGACTACAGACTGAAATGTTTTTAGCAAACCCGTATCATGTGTTTTCTGCTCCATCAACAAATCAGACAGAATGGATTGCACACCTCAGTGCCAGTTCACTAGTTCTACACTTCAAAGACGTGCTATCATATCCATCTTTTGCACATCCTGGCCTTCACAGAAACTTATCTGACATGACACATTGAAAAGCAACACACTGTTTATGAAAGAACAGGATTTGAGGAAAATGTTCCATGAACTTGTGCTGTATGCTAATAATAATTCACTAATCAACCATGAATCCACACTGCCATCTCATGCCAACCTAGAGATTTTGTACATTGGTATTCTTGACAAATCAGCCTCCTCAACCAGAATTGTTTTACTATTCTCCAGCAACATCTCGGAAAGCATTCCGATCAAACCTTCAGCGCATTCTGCAGCATCTGCAAGATACATCTGTCAGTGACTTTATCATCTTGAAGACTTCAACATCGACACCTTATGAGAGTCGTACTCTCTATTGAAGAAACTCATGTTTAGAATTACTGTGACATCAGTATTACCTACATACTATTCAGACCATTTCCTTGTATACGCTCAAGTTTAAACTCAAGAATTAAACACATCATCAACAGGTACTGCATCATCAAATTGAAGGAACTTAGACATACAGTAGTGAAGCATAGGTGTTTCATGAACCTAATTTGCACTTGTTTTTATTATCATCAAACAGTTCGTTTTCTGCTTGTTTTTTTATTTGAAAACAAAATCATTTTTGTAATAATTCTCCTCAGTTGTTACAATCTGTGGTTTAATTAGCATAACTTGGACATTTTTTATCTTTACTGATGTATTTCTAGGATCTCCAGAAGAAGTAGATCATCCTGGAGTTGGTGCTGCTATTAATATCATGTAAGCATCTGAAGATTCCAGACCTTATTTTTATTTCTCCATCTCATAGAAATTAACACTTAAATCGAGTAATATACCTGCCTGTATGTTTGACATTCAGAAACATGCTTAGAAACAAAAATTGTCATGCACAAATTTTCAGGAGTTTAGTAGGTATTAAGTTTTTACCATGGGTTTAATATGTTGTTAGAATATAAGATGTTCTACAACCAATTCTTAGACAACATTGACAAAACCTAAAGTTATCTATTATGCATTTAAAATATCACCAATTGTTTTTAGATAAGGGTATCATAAGATAAAAAAACAGTCAGTGAAATATTGCTATTTATGTGTTCACTATATGTGTCAGGAAGAAATTCCTGGTTATTAGTGTAAATGTTCACCTATAAAGCAATGAATATAGGACATTAAAATGCAATTAACTGTAAAAAAGTTTCTCTAAATGGTTACATGTAACTTCGTCATTGAGACACCAGCCAGGTTTGTATTGGTCAACAGTATTTAAATACCTTAATAAATTTAAAGTCATTTGATTAGATTTAGAGAGATGACCTCTCTTAGTTTTACTTTGTTTGAAACAACATATAGATCATATTGAGTGATTATTTAGAACTCTTGCACCAGAGGAAGTTTAAAAAGAACCATTGATAGTTTAAAATACAGGTAGATGATCCCAAAAACCAGAAACTGGCTATTCTGGTGAACAACTTGGAGAAATTCCTTATAGTCGGACTTTTTCTGGTTACTATGTACACTTCCAACTTGAAATTACTGAAAACTGCACTAACAAGTGCTGTACCAATTGGTAAATACAAATAAGTAAGTAAAAATTTCTTTTAAATTTAATTTTAGATTAATTACTGCCATAGCCACTTTCTTTGGGGGGCGTGGCAAGTCGATGCCGTACACGAGGCCTCAGCTCAAACCTGCTCTTAGGTTGTGCAGCCTGTGTCTGTATTAACTTGAATTTTTACCCCTTTGTTCATCATGAAAATGTCCAAAAGGCAAGTAAATAATGATCTTTATGTATGTATTTCATACTTTATTTATATCATTTGTACGTGCCAGGCCGAATGACCCCAAAACCGGAAATTTCCAAGATGTGGAATGTCTCAGGTCCCAAGCATTCTGGATTTGGGATTGAGTACCTGTATATAAGGGTATGAGGTTTGATATTGAGTATGTATTTAACAAACATTTCTGTGTTTCAGCACCACCAACCTTCCAGAAATGTCTAAAGATGTGAAAATGATTGCTGCTCTCATGGATGAAGGTCAAGGGGATAACTTGTTGGATGCTGCTCGAAATCTTTGCTTAACCTTTTATGATTTACTGAAAGCTGCTGAGCCTGGTAGCAAGGAGGTGAGACAAATTTAATGTGAAACCCTGTTTTACTGGTTTTATCATTATCTAATAGTACCTTTCTTTTTATTTCTTGTTTATGTGATGATATGAAGCTGAGGGTGGTTATTTAGCCATGTATATATTCTTATTGTTTATATAATTATGAACTCTTAATCTTTATAAATGATCCCGAGTTTGATATTCTTTGTAAAAATGCATATTTTTTTAAGTTAATACTATTCAATATTTAAAACCATTAACAGCCTCGTCAGAGTCTTCTTCAAGCTGCCACTCGTGTTGGAGAAGCAAGTCATGGTGTTCTTTATACGATTGGTGAAGAAGATGCTGTAGACAAAGAAGTACAGGTAAAAATAAATTACGTTTGACAGAAGTGAAAATTGGAACATTTTAAAAAATATTGATTAACTTTAGGTAGTTTGAATTAAAATTAAGAGAAAAGTGTTTTATGGAGTATTCCCATTCTTATCATTTTAAAGAAATAAGAACTTTGAGAAAGAAATAATTAGCATTTTCAGTTATTTAACTAGAACATCATTTGTTCATACTCATGCTAAAGAATAATCTTGATAATTAAGCGAAACTGGTAGTGAAGAAAACAAAAACTTCTTTCCTCAGTTTTGAGTTTATAAGAAAGGAATTATAGTTTATTTGTGAGAAAATGTTAAAGTGGAATTTTTTTCTTCTTCTTATTTTTGTCATTATAGTGGTTAGAAAAAAACATCAAACTTATGATTTACATTAGATACGAGATTGGTGAAGAAAAAGTAAAAGATTGAATCGTAGTTATATACAACATTATAGTTTACTCTTGGAGATTCTAAATCTGGTAATGTTTTTAATTGTCTAATAATAGGATGTTCTTTTGAGCCTGGCCAAAGCAGTGGCCAATGCAACAGCAGCATTAGTTTTGAAAGCCAAGAACGTAGCCAGCAGATGTGATGACCCACCCTTGCAGAACAAAGTGATAAATTCTGCAACTCAATGTGCCTTAGCAACATCTCAGCTGGTTGCTTGTGCCAAGGTAATGGAAATCATTGTAAAAACGTCAGTTTAGCCTTTATATGCTTCATGTCAGTTCCAACAAAAGATAATAAGAATCACATCAATTACTTATTTATCAAGTAGTTGAAAATAGGTTTACTTCTCTTATTATTATTATTTATTCTTGTGTTTGTGAAAAGTTTTGTATGGTAATTATATATACCGCAAGTATGCTGAATATTATAATTTGAATTAAGTAATGTCATATTAATCTGTAGATGTATAAATAATTTTTCATAGATTGGTAGTTTGTGAACTTTAAACATAATAACCTTTACAGATCTTTTTTTTTTACTAACACTGTACAGTTTTCCAATAAGAAGAATATGATATCACAAAAACCACCAAACCATGTATCACACCATAGGCATTTGATA